CTTTTCATATTGATACAGTTGATCAATATGATAGTGATGCTAGTTTGAATGATATCAGTGTTGAGGAGTGGGATGAGTGAATTATATTTTTGTTTTGATATTGAATAAATATTTTATGTTTTGGGATTGATTATTATGCTTTGAATGACAATTAGTACTTATATTTGCTTATATTTAAAAGATTGTTATGGTTGAATAAGAATTAGTTGTACAATTTAATCGTATTGTATTATTCATAAATTTTTCTTATTAAAATAAATTAATGTTCAAAATGCTTACGCCTCAACGCTTCAAGGCTTACGCCTCGCATAACGCTACTAAAAACGCCTCGCCTATACGCCTCGCCTTTGAAAACATTGATATAGGTTGAAGAAGAGACAGAGTCAGAGTCAGAGGTACCTTTTCCAATGAATGACCATACAAACTTTGGTAAGCAGAGCCAACAGCAACCAAATGTGCCCTGCTTCTTTCACTGAAAATTTGGATGAAAACCTTCTCATCCGTCCCCAATTTCTTCTCCCCAGCCTTATAGAGAGCTTCTGCATCCTTCTGCACCATCGCTTGATCATATTCTGGACCTTCGTACCGTGGCACACTAATGTATGCTACCAGCAACTTTACAACACACGCGGCAATGTTTCAATTTTTTTTTTGGACAAGTAATATACTGAAATATTTGGTAAACAAAATATTGTAAAGTGACCTTTTTGTGATCTCCAGAGGATAATTTAGTAGCAAGGTCATCCTCAAGGTCGACGTCAAAGCTGGAGAAATAGATTTGTTTGAATTGTCGCATCTGGGAGGGAGTTCGAGAACATATGATTTCAGTGGAAGCTTTGAGATCAACATCTCCCTCCAAAGCATGCCGTACGATGTTGGCGTCCCTTGTTGCCGGATCAGGCATCCACATTATCACTGCTCTCTGCATGCACATCATCAAATTATTAAGCCATGATCATGAAATTTTGCTTGATTATACTCGAATAATATAGTTAGTTACCTTGAGTTGTCCACTAAGCTCGGAGGACAAACGCTTGTTGAGGTCTTCGGAGTAGGTGGCGTGGTATTCTTTTTGGATGGCAGCACGCTGTGTTGCATTTCTGTGCCCTAGAATATTGATCACTGCTGCCGTGTCGCATCCAAATCCTTGTCATGAATTCATCAGTTTATTAGTTTACCAAAAGCAATGGCATTCCCAAATTAAAGAAGAACAATATATATACGTTACATGCGTAGAGAGGGAAAAAAGAAACAGAAATGAACGATCACCTTTGAAGGCACGGTAAAGATGGAGAGCGTCATCACGGGCCGAAGGTGGCATCGGTGGTATAATCACAGATGCCATTCTCTCTGCTTTCTGTTTCTGATCTTAACTAATTAAGTTGATTATTAGTTAATTGAATGCATTATAGGGGAAGTAATGTTAGATCATGTACGAACGTAGCTCAGTGGAAATATGAAATATACAGACGAAACTTGTTTTTCAACTGAATTCACAACTCAAAACTTGTCCATGTCTTAGGCAAAAAAAAGAGGAAACTTGTCCATGTGTAATGTATAACTTTCTCCTCAAATCTACTTGACTTACCCAACGCACCCGTTGACCTTTTCCCTTTTTATATCTACATTATATTAAAGAATTCGTCATAAAGCTTTTTCAATATTTTTTTCTTTCACTCTCCCTTGGACTGGATCTGACATCGATATATCTTTAACATGCTTGATCAGCCCATTCAGGCTTCAAGTGCTGAGGCCTTACATTAGCCCATTATGTTCTACCCAGGATTGATTGAGTAGCCTATTGATTGACCAACAAAACTTAGAAATAGAATCCCAAAAAAGTAATAAACTTACATTTTTAAACACTAGTTGCGTTTTTTTTTTTGTGGGCTGAACAAAACTAATCCATTTGTTTCGTGGAAATTGACAGCATTTGACAGGACATGAAGACGTTTAGCACGATCCATCTCATCTCATCAGCCCTAAATTAAGTTGAAAACAAAGAAGAAATACATGGATGACTGGCGACTAGACTAGAGTGTGGATTCCTTTTGGGTTCTTGATCAGGAATAACAAGGACTCGTCTACCATTAATTTCCTTTCTAAAAAAGAAACTAAACAACAATGACGTGCTTTTTTCTGGAAAAATAAAGAAATCAAGGTCAAATCTACAGTTGATAATTGTGTCACACAAGATATATAAATAGACGGACGAAAGGAACTGTTACTATTCAATTTGGTTACCCGTGCAGGAACAATTTTCTGGGCGTTTTAAATATATTTTTAACCCCCTGGTTTGACCTACTGTTTGACAAGGAAAAATGAACCAGTATGTCACTTTCGTTTTTTTTTATTTTTTTTAATCCTTGTAATGAACAGTAATAGCGTATGAAAAACCTGATCACCGATTCCGTGGACGTTAACTTGAATGAATTTAGTATGATTAAAAGTCACAATCAGAAAACAAACTCGAGCTTTATAATAATTGAGTTGCAGCCAATTAACGATGATGAAAACCAAAAGGATAAAAAGTGTGACATATAATTGGTCCTCTGCCCTCCACTGTTATCTGTAATATGCATCACCAATAATGCTTTTAGAAAGTGAATTAACTTAATTATAATTAGTGTAGCCAAGATTCAAGGTTAGCTAACCGACACTACGTCATCACTTAAGTTACAATCTTTTGCTTAACAGGGACCAATAATCTTCAGTCTGCGGCATTCTTTTTTAATTTGCAAGGTCTTTTGCTTCCCCCTTTCAAGTTGCAAAAGTTGCAAGCATTCTTTAAGATATTAAATTTGACCATCACTACTTCATGAACATGTTTGTTAAATTGGATCTTAATCTTCCTTCTTGTTAATCTTATAATATATTTATATATGTACTTTGTGCACTAATTGCGTAACTACACTCTTTATATGCCGTCTATCCAATACCATGCGCATTGCGTCTTTGAATGAATCACATATTATAAAAATATCTTGTTTTCAGGAATTAGTGCACATTATTTATTATGGACTGTCTGTCCTGCAAATTCAGAAACCAACCAACTGTTTGATTGGATTCCTCTAACCCCAGTTGATGCCTATATATATATAGGATATGTCGGCGCTAACAGTCATTTGACATGGATTGAATTAAGCAACCCGCATCATTTTCAGTATTGTTGCATTGCATATGCATTTTAAATTTAGTAAAAAGATCCATGAGCACCACATGCATCGTTGTGTCAACTAGCTCGTGTCCTTCACCTTGTTCTGGGACGACACGCTGTTATTGCCACAACAACCCAGTAAGTTGCAGACGATAGTGATACAGTGATGTGATTGCCAAAATAACATGTGTCAAATTCACCATCCCACATGGAAGGGGTAGCTACTGGCTATATAATAGTATAGAGTTTTGCCTTCAGTCAATCCGCAAATTTAAGGGGAGAAACTCTCTTGCAATGGAGATAGTACTTTTTGCTATCATCAACAAATAATACAATGATACATAGTATAATTTTTTTACATGTTGTTATGTTATTGGCTGAAGATAGCAAAATAATATTATTCCCGTTACAAGTAAGTGTTTTTTGTAATTTAAGGATTAGGAAATTTAGTAAATAATTAATTTGGTTTTCAAGTATTTTTCAAAAGCCCAACTCAAAAACAACTTTAAAAAATCCCAATTTTTTTTTGAAAAGGTTTTACAATTTTTTTTTCTCCCTGTCCTAGATCTCTCTCTCTCTCTCTCTCTCTCTCTCTCCTTTTCGTTTGTTAATTTCAATTTGGAAATCTAGGGTTTCTGATTTTCTGATTTTAATTTTTAATTTTTTTTAGAGGGATAATTGTCGAAATGTCACCTGAACTTGTACCTCAGTTTCAATTTGCCACTTTAAAGAAAAAATTAAGAGAAATGTCACCTTAATTTTTCAAAATCCATGATTTGTCATCTGACTTCAACATCATCCAATTTTCAATCCATTTTAAGGGTATTTTAGTCTTTTCATTTTCAAAAAAAAAAAAAAAAAAGACGTCTCTCTCCCTTTCTCCCCTACTCGGCCCCAAAACACATCATACAGGACCCCCCCTCCCCCTCTTCTCTCTTTCTCTCTCTCTCTCTCTCTCTCTCTCTCTCTCTCTCTAACCATGTATAATATTTTTTTATAATGATTTTTCCATTTTTAAAATACCCTTAAAAATAGAAAAGACTAAAATACCTTTAAAAATAGATGAAAAATTAGATGTTGTTAAAGTCAGATGACAATTCATGGATTTTGAAAAATTAAGGTGATATTTCTCTTAAAATTTTCTTTAAGGTGACAAATTGAAATTGAGATATAAATTCAGGTGACATGTCTACAAAAATCTTTTTTTTCAGATCTTAAAAACAAGTTTTTAGATGTTAAAATCAGTATTTAAAAACTCATATTTAAAAAAAAATCATGATTTTTGAGTTAAATTTTAATGGTAGAATACAAAACCGCCCTCAGATACCCTAGTAATATTGTAACAGAGGCACGCATGTAATTCGCAGATTTTAATTTCGAACTGAGATGGAGCTCAGCTAAGCTAAGCCAGCATCAGAGAGATTAACTTGGATCGGGCCGACCGCGACTTGCTTGTTGTTCCCCAAATGCCCAAATCTCTCGCCATCAATATATCACAACAATTATTAGGACCTGTGCTAATAATTAAATTTTTTATCAATTAGGAGATCGTATTAATTAATACGAAGTCGCGAATCTACAAGAACACAAACAAAAACAAAATTAAAATATAGAAAGATGACAGTTTCATTGGTAACGTCGAGCTCCCCATCCAAATATAAGAAATTGGATTGGTTCCTGTGGCTGTCGTTTGAGCCTATCAAAACCCTGCAATTTGTATGTATGGTGGTGGGTAAATTAAACTAATTAATATTGTTTGAGTACGATAGTTTAATTACTATATAAATAGTGCTGTATGTTAGTGTTGAAAATATAGAAACTCTGATTTGATTGGCGGTTTTGATAATGGATTATTATTATTTTCCGGATGAATGAAAATTTGGAATCTTGTAACAAGTTGCAGTGTGATCGCTGGAAAATATAGTATACATATATAATTGGAAACCTTTCAATTTCAAGGTTAGGTTTAGATACTATTCCATTGTCATGTAGCCTTGAATTATGAAATGATATCCATTACACGACAGAATCACACAGTAGATTGTTTAATGCCATGGATTATATTAAACACCAACTTGGTGAAGTTGTGCCGGCGGCTGCAAAGAAGTTGCTCCGGGCGTCTGAGAGGGCCATGACATGATATCCAGCTAGCCGAATGCATTTAAACAGCTTTTTGGAAACATGTTTTTGTCATCAATGAGAGAGTCAACAGTACTAAATGCAACTTTTCTGGACGTTCCTTTTTGGTGTCTTCATGTGAAAGAAATATATATATTCATTTTCATATGAAACAAACATTAATGCGATTGATCCTCATCTGATCTGATTGTCTGTGCAAACTCAGGAGCCAATAAGTTTTTTCATCTTGTGTCTTGTCAATCAAAGGCTTAAGTTTCTAGTGCCTTGCTTTCCAAGCCTACTAGCTAATAAGCTAGGCATCCACTTCAGCAGTCAGTATATACAGTGTCTTGTCAGAGGCTTAAGTTTTCTAACTAGGCCAAACCAAGTCAGTCGGCTGCTTCACCAAATACACTCGCACGTACGTTGACCTGTGCCAGAGATTTATAATTGGAAGATATTCCAAAATTGGGGCAAAGTTGACATGGAGAATTCCATAATTAGTAATAAATGATATCTTTTCAAGGTTACGTGAGCTTTCTGTGGGTAGAGATGAAAAATAAATAATAAAATACTAGCTAGCTGCTGTGATCGGGGAATAGAGGGATGGTGGGGATTAATTAAAGGCATAAGGGTGTCTCAGTCAGATAAAAAAGAGAGAGAGAGAGAGAGAGAGAGAGAGAGAGAGAGAGAGGTTCTGTTGCTCATCTGTTTTCCAATATGTATATCGGCGATATTGGACCACCCCCCACTTGCATGCACCATGGCTTAAACAATTCTGTAAAACATAAGATATCCATGCCATACGAAACAGAAATATTTCATGCCTGCAGAGACCCATGTTTTCTCATTAATCTCTCTCTCTCTCTCTCTCTCTCTCTCCAAGACGAAGCTACAACTACTCTTAGATATATATATTATATGTTCGTCGACAAGCAATGTAGCCTTCTTTTTATCGGTTGTTGCATCCTCTACCATTGAAACCATCCACGTCGCTTTAGTTAAGAGCAACTCCTCCAGCCCAACTTGCAGTGGTCTCACAGCATGCATGATTATCTCTGCATTTTCTT